ATGTTATTATAATATGAAACTGTAAAAAGTTTGGCGTAGTCGAGGATTAGATTAAAGAGGGTGTAAAAATACTAATACTAGTTTCAACAGATGTATAGGAACCTCATACAAAATAATAATATTGAAAAGGCTAATTTTTCCAAAAATGTTAAGTAACAATTTCTTCAATGAAATATTTGGTCCAAGTCTCGAACTTGTTATGTTAGTTGTGGTATTTTAAGTCGTAACCCGCAAGAAAAAAAATGTCAATATAATATAATATATATTACTGAAAATAACATATTTTAGTATATTTTTCTAATACAATATTTAATATTTTAGATAAACTATATTTTAATAAATATAATACAAGTAATATTATATGCAAAAGAGATGTGAAAATCAAAAGGATTTGAAAAACATAAAAGTTCTCGTATGGAGATACGAGTACCCATTAACAACCCCGATTACTTGTATTTGTGGTATAATAATATCTAATCATAATGCGCACGCCGCACAGTAATACAGATGTGATTGCTCGTTAAATTTGGTCCATCAATATTGTATTGGTTCTGAGATTTTTAAGTAAAAAAATAAATAATAATATCGTAAAGATAGTTTATAGTCATGTTATATTATTATATTGTTATATTGTTATAACGATGAACGTACTCGGTGAATACAAATTTTACTTTGGTTAAGCTAATGTCGTTATTCGTTATGTAATCATACGATAAAGTAAAAATTAAATACAAATTAAATATATATTATAACAAAAAAATCCACGTTTCTGAATCTTGTTTTTATTTTATTTGCTAAAAAAAATTTATTACAATCATAAAGTATTAAGTCGAGCGTATAAAGACTATTGCGGGCGATTACCGTGAAGAAATATATAGCTTCATTTGAAAGGCGATATCAGTAAGACACCACCCGTTGTTGTATTACAAAGATACGTCGCATACATGACTTCTACCAGTCTTATATAGTTATATATGGCATTCTAAACGACCGCATAGGTATTTCGTACAGCGATTGTAACTCCATAATGTTTGAACGCAACGGAACCATTCGCGGTTCGCATCTGTTTTTCTTAAATTTACAATGCTGCTGGACGAAATTTATATGAGACTTGAATGGTGGATGTGTAAGTAAATGTCATTTTTGGATGCGATTACGGACATTTCGATCGAATTATAAATCATTATTCTACTTAAACCGCTATCGATAAAAAGCACGAATCATTCAATTTGATATTTAATAGTTTAACGTGAAGGATTAAGACACACCTCACGAACATAATACTACGGTTATTATAATTTATTCGAAATATTATAATAATAAACACTTTTTTTAATTCCCTTAACAATCGACAGTCTATATATAATAATCCTACATCAAATAGCTCTAGTCTTACGATGTAATTTGAATTATAATATTAACGTACCATTGTACTATGTGTGCAGAACAAAAGTCAAAGACTATAAGTGAGTTCTTAGACTCATTGTTCTGAGTGACTTTTGATCATTATTGCAATAATTTAAAATAATTTAAAATTTGCTTGCTTAAATTATTTTTTGTATTTTTTTTATTGTTGATAATTACATTGTACTTAGAGCTAGGATTGGAATGTTATTTTTCTAGTAATTAAAATGTTATAAGAACTCGATGATTTGTTTAGTCAAAAATGTTTATTTGCATAACGTGTTTGGTAAATTACAACTAAAATTTGAATAAAAATAAAATCTAAAACTAAAATCGTTATATTATTAGAGCCACTTTTTCCATAAAATATATGATATTAATATGTACTTACCTCGTAGCAGCTACAAAGTATGAATGGAAAACATCATACAAATTCTTGAACCACAGTGAATATGCTAGAGATTTTAACAGAAAGTTTGTTAAAGCCGGTCGAATTTTTCATTATTAGTGTGATATATTTTCCGATAAAAATGCCAATTCGTGGTCAATATCCATCAAATATTGCATGCACCTTATCTTTATTTAATGCACCTTATGTTGACTGTACTGGTACTCAAAATCAAGCAAAATACAAATTGTATTTCTTTTCTTCATAAGCTACTATAAATGTACTTGTAAAACTTGTTTGAATGATAAAAGGCAGATCACGCATTTAGATTGCAAGGCTAACGAAGATAATTGAAGACGATGCGCTAGGTATAGTAATTGCTTGAATGTATAAATGATTGCCTTACTTCTCATACATATGATATCATTAAGTGTTTCAACAATTTGGACAACAAAATATTTAGTATAATATCTCAATAGATTGCACCGACTAAACAGAATTATATCTTACAATCAAAAATTACTTATCTCGAGCAGAATTCATAGCTAATGAAATAATTATTATCGGTGGTATCCTCGAAACTACAAATGAAAATATAATATAGGCAATTACGCTTCTTGTATAGGGTGGTAATTACATATAAAAATTGATGATGGTAAACAATTGTAAAAACTATTAAAAACTATGGCGATTAACACAATTCAATAGGATTGGTTGTTAACAAATTGATAGGCGTACAGTCGACTTTCTAAAATCTAGAAAAGTGAAAGTAAAATGGACAGGACACATGAATTTAACAGGAAAAAAAATAAAAAAGTTCCCCTATGCCTTCAAGGAACTGAGATGTATTTTATTAAATAATCAAATAAAAATGGTATATAATGCATTGTTGGTATCCTCACTTACATCAGGAATAATTTCACTGGACGAAGTAAACAAAACAAATCTTAAAATTTCAAAATCACCTAACATTTTGTTTTGAGATTAATCTTAAATAAAATCTACGATTACTACGTCAAGAAAATTTCTTGTGAAGATATGAATGTGCTATAAGATGAAAAAAAAAAACTTTTCTACGAAGCTGCTGCCATCGATTTTATAGTAAAAAATAACCAAACAAAATCAATACTCCATAATTTTAACACCAGAAAAATATACCAGGTATATAACCAATATACACATAAGGTACATAAATCCTCCACACAGACTTATTTTTCATAAATTCGCCGAAGTATTTTGAATAACCTCCCTAAGCAATTACGTAATTTGAATAATATATTTGAAATTAATTTAACTACCTACTCGACTTATACGTAAAACTGCAGAATATATTATACGCCATACCACTCTAATTTGAGAATTTATTACACTTAAACTCACCCCTTACTATAATGTATGTTAAATGTTCATATCTAATATTATTTATTCGTGTGTGCATAATGTATTTTATATTTATATAAATTTGTGTTTTTCTGCTATACAGGACATTTGTATGTACTAGTTTGTTAATTGTACTAGATAAGACTTCAATTGCTCTCGCACACAAGAACTTTCTCACCCATATCGTTCTATATTATGGTATGTCGGTATTTACTTTGAAGTTATTATGAGCTAGTATTACATGGTATAACAGGAATACCTAACAAGTTGAAATAACTTTTGTTCTAATCAATATTTAAAAAAAATTGTTTTTTTATAACATAATTCATAGCACTTGCGCCACTTGTATTATATAAAAAAAAATGTTGTTTCCTTAATACTAAAAATAAAACAATTTAAATTGTATTTGGAAATATTAAAAATAGTCAATTTGTAAATCTCATTAAAGGAAAAATTTTGATGGTAACAACATTGGTCTAAGTCAAGTAATTTTACATTTTGGAGTTTTTGAAAATATCAATCTTTTTTGAGTAAATTAATTTGGAATGTAATAACTTTTTTGTCACGCCTGCACCTAAAGTTTGGATTTCGATAACGGTTGAAGCATTGGGCGGCAAAGTGGAAATCCCTAAAAGTGCTTTGTGGTAAAATGGAAATCCCCTAAAGCGCACATATCACGAGCAATTAGATACTGAAATCTATATCACGGTTTTTACAAAAAATAAACTTTTGGTTATATCTTATATACATATTATAATCTCCTTGCATGACGCCTAAACAATTTTATTTTATGAAATCGTTTTCGTAAAACAATGTGATTGTTGCAGAGAACCCTACATACTACATAGTGCCTAACCTTTGCCATGATTACATTTTTTAATTTTAATATAACAGTTTTATTATTATTTATACTGAAATCTATACCACAGTAGTGACAGTACTTACAAATCATAAACTTTTGGTTACATCTTATATTTATATTATTAAAACATAAATGCGTGACGCTTAAAACGAATACATATAACCAAATCGTTCCTTTCATAAAATACGAGTATTATTTACATATAATAGTCTGGTTGTTTCATAGATCCCTGGTAATAAAAAGCATTTGTAAGACCCGAAGAGGGAAGACTTGATTTAGTATGGTCACGAACATCCAATGCTTCGATGTTCACTCATTTTTTTTGTCTTTACAAGAGTATTAAGTTCATTAAAATGTTAAGATTATATTCATAAGTTATGTTCAAATAGTCATACTCTTTGTAACATCATATTTATATAATATTATAATCTTTATAATTAAAATGTTCATATTAAATTAAAAGCACCAAGTTTTGACACTAAAGCATCCTAAACCTCTATCTTCATCTACATTGTTTTTTTTCTGTACACCGGTTCTACCTGACTTTGGTTACTCTAATATCAAGTTGTGTATAACTACCAAGATTTTTAGGGAAATCATCGTTTTACATTTTGGGTGGACAATGTGGAACATCTTCGAAATACTGTGAAAGTATAATTTCATAATATTATATAACTTTAATAATATATTTGTTAATTTATTATAACAGTTAAATTCCATTGATTATTTGATGTGTATACTGTATTTAAGTTTTTATTAAAGTACTTACACACTTAAATCCTTTTCGCACTTTTAATGATTATAAAAAAATGATAATAACAACACGAATTTGCCTACTATTTGATAGTAATTGTATACATCATACTTTGAATAATAAAATATATAATTTACCTACTTCTTTTGTAATAGGTAGGTAGTTGGTACTTATTTGTTATCCATAATACACGTATTATTCAGCTATTATAATTAAGATAACCATCTCATTATATATGAGGTAAATCTATATTTTCCTTTAGCGTAAGGTGGACTATCGTTGGTTAAGAAGTTGTATATTCCTTCAGTGCTAAAAATTAAAATCAAAATTATTCAGAATTAAGATAAGCTATGTAATAGAATTTGGTAAACATAATCAATTAGTTTTTCATTTGTACGAAAATCATAGTTAGTATAACACCAGTTTCATATTTCATATTTAATATTGAAATATGTATAATGCCAGGGTTGATTTGAAGGGTGTCAAAATATAAATACGATGTATTATAGTAATGTAAGTAGTATTATAATAATATAATATTATAGAATACCTATCAAAAAGTGATCCGAAAAATATATTTTTTGAATAGAATATTTTATATGTAATAAATAGTTATGATAAAATTATCATCATTCTTAACTATATATAGCGATGGCAACTAATCAGATTTTAATGATTATTATTAATTATCTAATAATTGATGCCAAATATAATTATTTACTATCATAATCTGGTATATCAATTTTAAATGTTTATTATCAGTTCATTCATATTTAAACAGCATGGTATTTCGACAGTAGGTGTTATACTACTACTATCTTCGTACAGTTCGAAATCAATACTTACCCAGGGTCAAGATATTCTCCAACCAATACTTTAGCTCCCGAAAAACTACTAAACTGCCCCAATAATGACAGCTGGTTTAAGGTGCTCGAAGTCGTCGCATAAAATCCAGACATGCCCATTCCGTGGTAAATCGACTCTGCGTAGAATTTATATGCTCTCTCGTGACTACAAAAGTACCAATACTCTGACGAAAGCAAATTTTTACAAAACAACATTTAACACTATTGGTATTATCATGATTATTATGTTGTTTTTATCATAAATCGTTAAAATTATTTACTAGGAAGTATAAAAACAGTTAACACATAATATTATTATGTGCACCAATTTATTTTAATCGAACAACTCTATAAATATAATAACCTTGTTTAATTTTCCTTAAATCAATTAATGAAATATAAAATACATTTTACCGATCAATGGTCTGAATACACCTATGTTCGATAGTAGAATGATCCTATACGAAATGTACATACAAAACTTGGTTTATTTTAATTTGTCTAGAGATCTTGTACGGTTTTATTTACTCTGTTTTACTTATGTTATGTCCAATTAATCGGCTTAAACTAATAATTATTACGATCGGGATTTTAATGGATGCGTATACTTAAATCAATCAGTTTATACTTTACAAAGCTACGTGCATAGTATGATATGACTTACACCCTAATCAATTCTTATATAAAGTATTCTATTTCAATAAATCTTCAGCTTGCGTTTTTCCAGGCCTCCCTATAGTATAATTAATAATAATCAATATGACTTGAATATAGCATAACCCATTTTTTACAGCACACATTGAGACCATAAGAAAATATTATGCACCATAATTCTCTTGGAAAGTTCGGTAAACTGGAATTTGAGAAATGTATGAAATATCTTGATGATATTTTTATTATATTTATCTAGTTTTAAGGTCATTATATTTTAATTCCTACGGCTGATTCAGTCATAATCTGTTTATTACCAATCAGCAGTCACACATTTTTATAATATAATAATATTGCAATATTATTAATTTGTTTACTGAATTTTTTAATTTTTTAATTTTTCACAACATACTGACATTACTATTACATATATACCTACTAAATTAACGCAACTTTTGTACTGTCAAATAGTTGCAATTAAATCATGAATAAATTTCAAAGAAAATAATGACCATTTGTAGACTAATGGTATTAATAAAACTATAATGTTATATAAATGCAATACTCACTGTTATATTTGTCAGCACTAGTCCTATCACATCCCGGTTGTGTTATTCCACCATTGGCGTAAAAATCAACTGTACCAATCGGCATCATTTGTCCGAGAACACCGCAATTTGTATGTATGATGTCTACGATGGTCGCACTTTGTTGGTCCAATTGGTTCCAAAACAATTCAAAGTGAGGTATTGCTGGATCAAGGCCTATTCGTCAAATAAATCCTGTGATGGTCGGTTTCATAATGAATCAGTTTTCCTATTCGAGAGTCGTATTATACCAGTACATAATTTTATTATTAGTTTAATATTATTAATATAAAAATAAATTATGTATAATATTATATTATCATATTATGGAAGTATGCACAATCAGGGTGATTTTTCAATTATGCTCAGCTCCGTTTTATCCGTTGATGAGTTAAGCTTAAGCATAATATTATGTTAAAATTCGAATTTTCAGAATTCGTAACTAGTGATAATATTGTTTTTAAATACTTAGATTTTACAAGTTGGATATAAGTGGAATAGGAACTATTCACTTGAATTTCGATTTAGACATATTAATATTTTTATAAACGACCTTCTAATTTAAAATGGACAGTAAATAAAAACAATTCCCATAAAAAAAAAAAACAGAAGAAATTGTTATCGATAAAGGATCAGTCTCAGATTAACTCAAACTCAGATGCACTGTCGTTATGTGCCAAAGTGAAATCGACCTTCGAAATTAAAGAGTAATGCAACCCACAGGCCCAAGGTATAATTTTCCATAACAACTAGCTATTTAATTTGTCAAAAACTGTTTTTGTTATAATTGTTGGATAGGTAAGTGGCAATATTATAAACAATATACATGTTTAATATAAATATAAATTATTTTTGCTATGCTAAGTACTCACATATACAGCTGTACCTAGTATGAGTACGGGGTACTCCTTAAATGGCATGCACGTCTAAGTATTGATATTGGAAAATATAGACTTAAAATACACTTAAAAACTCTAAAAATAGTAATTTGAAAAATTCAAAGTTAAAAGATCGAATGTGAGTGAGCGTACTTGGTGAACTACTGAGTATATTTTTCGAATCTTGTGATAAACGAGCGTGTTTGGCGTGATTTTATTACCCGTAATCCTGTTCAGGAGTTTCCCTTTCTCCTTCAACAGTTTTCCCACGAGACCAGCGGCTTGACCTCCTAAGCTGAATCCAATGGCGTGCACATACTCGAATTGTTCATATGTATCGAGGATCGCGACCAGAAATTGTGTAATACATTTTGCAATGATTGGCAGATTCTGAAGAGCGACGGTGTAACATTTCAATGAAGACGCTATAGCGTAATAATCAATCGTGATTATGTTATACTCGGCCTGGGAGAAATAAGCTGAAAAAAATTTAGATTTTAGATTAATCATCGAATGCGCTTCGGCCACCACAACTGTCTAATCAAGAGCTAACAACTGACTTCAAATATCTTTAATGGATAATATGTATAATAGATTTTACGCAATTATGTCATTTCCAAAAATTGTCTCAATTCACTATTATAATATGATGGGCTTGACCCGTGGCCTGAAACTCACCGTCTCTAATTACCGTGTTAAAATCATCGTCTCTCGATCCTTTGATTCCGTGGATAAGTACTTTCAAATCCATAGTCATTGCGAACTCGATATCTTTGATTGAGTCTTCCGTAAGCTCAACAGGGTTATCTTTAGTTTTACTTTGAACATAAAACAAACAAATATAATATACACGTGTATGTTTTAAGTAAGATCGACAAACTTACGTACTTTGTATACAAATATAGTTTAATATGCTCGTTAGGACAGTTATCAGTCGCTTTAATACATATATCTCTTTTATTATTATCACTGGATCTGCACGTGACGATAACGAACAATACAGTTAAACCTATAAAAACTGTATACGTCGTTCGTGAATTTGTATTTTATTTGTTTATTCAAATTTGGTGAATCATAAGTACTCTGTACCTATATTCTATCTACATAGAATTATATCGTGATGAAGTGTACTTAAAGTAAATGAAATGTCACTAAAAAAAATTGTGACGATGCAATAAAATTTTAATATAATATTGTAATATTGTTTATACCATGTTAAAAAACAAATAAATGAATAAAACAAATATTTACGGACGCCTAAGCATTGTAATACTATAATAAAATAATATACAGTCAATCCTCGATAATTCAAATATAAATAACGCATTTGAGTACACTCAGTAATTTGAGGTAAGTTTGAAGAAAGCAAGTTCATTATTGGACAAATAACGCAACGTTCCGCTCCAGTCAGTACTCCTTGTCAAGGTTTTTAAAGCTTTGTTTAATCTCCAAAAAGTATTGACCGAGCTAAACTAAGCTTAACGCACCAAAAAATAATATCACAGTTTAAAAAAAAAAAAAAATATTAATTCTATTAAGTATTTTTCATCATAAATATTTTGTATTTAAACATACATTATAAGTATATTATATTTATATCGTTTAGTATTTCATTGCAATTTTTTTATATATTTTGCTACCTATCTTGCTCTGTATTACACATCCCCAAGGTTTGTTATAAATATATTTGTGAAAATGTGTATACAACATATTTGATATAATTATATTATAATACCTAGGTAGTAAAAAATGATAACCTTAAAAATAAACAAAAAAATATATTCTTTTTTCATGAGTTGAATAATAATTAATTGTGAGCTACCTTTTGGGTAGTTGGTATAGATATTGAAAAAAAAAACTATAAACATCCTCTAAGTCTCGAGGAAAGTATTGGTATAACTTTTTATTGAAAACGGTAAAGTAGCTTTTGAGTCTACTAACTCCCATAAGCCAACGCAGGTTAAAAATATAGTGACAATTATAAAACATTTTAAGTTTAAATAATAATTATATCCGATAAATTACATTATACTATGTAACTTGTGGCAACCATTTATATAGAAAAAAAATTACTAATTTCTACTAATTTCCTAATATAATAATATTTTAAAATAATGCAACCAATGGCAACCATGAGATACCTAACCTATACCAAAAATCCCATGGAAATCAGGCCATTTAGTTTCCCAAATTTTCCGATTTTCCGGCCATTTTTCCCATTTTTTTCAGTAAAATCTTTATTCAGAATATAATGAAAAGTTGAAAAACAAATGAGCCAATTATAATAATAATGTAATTCGAAGTTTTTCATAAGTTCCTCTACAATCGAACTATCGAAAGTTGACTGCTTATAATAACATATGCGTATGAATACTGATTACTGTCATTCTAATAATATTATCTGTAAAAATAAATACTATATTAATATTGTCATGATTACCTTTTTCCAAATCCGTCATAACTTCTCAGCTGCTAAGAAAGGTGTACTCCAGCAATAGTATTGTAATCAACGTTGATGTATATTGGTGAAAATATTATACCAGAAAAAGAACAATCGATATAACCTTTACTTGTAATTTGTATAACAAGTGGCTACAAGTGGCTGTTAGGTTTGGTGATGTACTGATGTGTAAAATAAAAAAAAAAACTCGACAAAATGAAGTGTATGCATATGCATCTATAACATTAGACTATTTAAATTACACACGTGCTCAAACAAACTTTAAACCAATTATTTAATAGGTTACATATACGGGGTGTTACATCAAGCACACTTCCTGCAATTGTATTCTTTAGTACCTACTACATTTTTAAAAATATTTAAATGCCACATTTTCAAATACATACTTATTTTTACCAATACTAGTACAACATTATATTTTCAAATAAACATCTCTTTTCTACAAGAAATTTTTAATTTTTTTAAAATGTCATTGCACTACCTTGATAAATATTCAAATGAAAAGTTTCTGAAAAGTTAAACTAAAATTTTTTTACAAATTATAAAATTTTAATAAGTCATATAAATTCATCATCGACACATATATTTTACACTTATTTAATATCATAATACCATAGGCTATTATCCTAAGTATTTTAATAGAGACTAATTGCTAGGATTTTGGTTTAGATGTTCAAATTATTTCAGGAAAAAAGCATACGTTAACAATATTTACAGTAAAAAAGAGTGGTTTTAATTTAAGATAATAAGTTTGTATCCCCAAAGGACATCCTTTATATGGTTATAAAAAAAAAGTTCAGTATTTGAAAATATGATCCTTATACTTATTCTTATACTTATAAACTTAAAGTATTTAGAATTGTAATAAATCCATTATTTATGGGAAGCATTAAAGTGAGCATGTTTGGTGAATCACCATGTGTGTGTGTGTGTGTGTGCTTGTGTATTAAATATGTATATTAATATATTTTACGATTGCTAGGTACTATGAGCATAAGAGTGAAATGTATTAAATACTCAAATAGTCAAAATATTATAGAAATTTCTAAAACAGTATCTTGTAGTTGTGTTTGTAATAGGTAAGATATACCTACGAGTAATGTTAAACACTGTAGTTACATAGGTATAATAATATTTTGTTTCAAATAAACAATAGTACGAAGTCATCATAATGTAATATTTCATAAGAAGCGGTAAAATAACACTTTTTTAGAACAGAGTATATTACGTATTTCGTATACGTCATATCAGGTTAAGCCCATTTATTTATACCATTTATCATATTTTTAGAATTTTAATTTATAAATTATGTAGTAGGTATATTATGTTTATAAGACAATTGTAATGTGCGTACAATAATAAAAACAACACACATTTTAAGTTGTTTATAGTTAATTTAATACAACAATTCAAAATTGTCTCCTTGGAACTCAATTTTTTTTTTATTTGAAAAAAAATCTTTACATACGTACTTAGTGATGTTGTCAAATTCCAGTGAATATAGTTTCGGGAATTTCCCAACACCGGAAATTTCCCGGTAGTATAATAAGTTTTTAAATATCGATCATAGGTTTCAGTTTTAAATTTTATATTAAACTTATAGGAAGTGTCACTACTGGGTGGCTTCTTCCAACAACTCATTCACGCCTTTTTGTAAATTAGCCCATATCCTTATTGTGTCTCTGGGTACAGATGGTATATTTCTTTTAAAAAATAAAAAAAAAAAATATTAAACTTGTTGTAAATGATCCAAATGACAGTTCATTATTGATATTATGTCAGTTTAGATATTATTTATTCTTTAAGAAATAGTTATTAAATAACTATAATTTAATTTTTTAATTACAATCTGTACAATTATCTCAAAAGAAAAGATCCAATTTTCATTTAAATATGTTGAAAAAATAAAAATGAACATGTTGAAATTGAAATACTGAACAACATAAAAATAATACATATTTTTTTATTAAAGAAATTTCCTAAGAGGGAACATTCCTTTGGGAATATTCCAAATGCACATCACAATACGTACTATTTAATATTATAATTTTCCAAAAATATTGAATTCAATATTTATACTTGCGATTGACACTCATCGATATACGATAATTATTATTGATTTCCCAATGAACTATAATATTATTAGTAACTATACGATTCCATCACTTACAATTCGTTAAATTTTACAATGTTCAGGTAAATTATGCTTGATTTTAGTCCATGGTAATATATTTCAGTATATTATTTGATTTAAATATGTGTCAAAAAAAAATAAAAAAATCATATAATGGACATTGTAACCGCCACCTTTAAAAATTAAAATAAATAGTTACTATCATAATTATTTACATATGGCATGAACTATTTCATAATAACCATAATAATAATTAAAAGAGGTAACTCACTAGTAATTTGCCTATCCAAAACGCCGTCTAACGACGATACATCGTTTCATGACGTTATTTTAGCTTACAGTAAGTAAATGTCGATGTTATAAAATACGAATAATAATTAATTTATACGTTTAAATCATTGTTTCGCCGATGCGGAAACGTCATAATGCAGGAACTTATTACTATCATGTCATCAAAATAATGTTTTGGGAAAACGTCATCTCTGTATGCGACGATGAATAAGACCCATTGTTGTAATAAGGCATATGCAATTTAATATTATAATATTTTGTTCTTACCAACTTGACTTATTTTATATGTCTTGTAAATTACCATATTATTATTGAGTTATTAATGTAAAGCATTAAAATGTATAAAACGATTTCACTGCGTGGTGAACGAGACAATAATATTTCGGACATTTATTATTTGCTTGATAATTAATATAATACACGATTAGGACGACGCACCGAATATAATTGTAATATTATTATTTCTGCAGGCGTCTAAGACCAACTGAATTTTCATAAAAAATAAGCATCACCACTATACTAGTTTGAATGTTGAATTAAACAATAAAAACAATATTTTCAAAAAAATTTGCCAATAAATATTTTACAGTAAAAAATTAGGTTCTCATTTTAAAAACAGAAGTTTGTATCTAAAAAGTATACCACTTAAAAAAACCAAAAAATATGATGGTCTTTAAGTAAGTACCTATATTTAAAAATTCTGAAAATGAGAATTTAAATAAATTCATTATTAAATGAAAAATTTGGTTGGGGGGGAGTAGGTGACCATTCTTGGTGAATCACTATATACAACTGTGTATTATGTTGTTATTATTAAGGTTAGGTTAGGTAAGGTTAGGAGAATTTTAGGAAAATTTCTTCGAGATATTGCGAATTTTGAGTTATCAATATTCGAGTTACCGAGAGACGACTGTATTTTAAATTGTATGTTAAGCTGATACCTTTTTTTTTTATATATATTGATAAGAGCGAATTAAATTATATTTTATTTTACATTTTTCTCATATAATACTTCTATGAGGGTATAAATAAAATTATTAAATAAAGAACATAACTTTAATTTAATGTAAAAATGTCATGAAAATTCAAAAATAACATTTAATTTCGGATAACACTGGCTTGAATATTTTCCATGTGCCATTCTTGATTAATCAGGCATATCTGTTGATTTATATTTTTATTTTTGTCAATATATATATATATTTAAAAGAATGTTTTTTTTGTAGATTAGATCTCTGGGAAGAAGATAGGCTAATTTAAAAAGGGTTAAATTTGGATTTTTTTTATTCATCGGATTTTAGTACGGTTAGGTTAGGTTAAGATTTTGTACTAATTGATTATATTAATACACCGTAGGTGGAATTAAGTAAAAACGACAAACTTGGTATAACTTTGGTACTTTAGAGTTAAATCATACACTTACGTACACTGGGTCAGCGATCTACAGCAGGTAGTTTGCCTACCTGATAATTAGGGATGAGAAGTTATAGGATTTGCATATTTTTTTCTGTATCTTCTATTTATAGCTAGGTGAGCTAAAAATCTGTTTTATAACCTAATGAATCGAAATTTGGTATTTAAATGTTGCATATTTTTGCATATATTGGTAGTTTTCTTAAAAGTTGCATATTCATGTTTTTTTGTGCATAAAAATGCATATTTAGTAAAATTATGTGGAATTTAATACAACTGACATGAAAAATTTATTATTTTATAGAATTGTATGTGTTCGTAGTCTGCAATAATCAATAAAATAAAAATGCAGATAACAAATTTGAAAATTGTAGAATTGTAACATTTAATAGTAGGTAGGTATATAAAAGTAAATCTAGGATTAGTATCTTATCTAATCGTTTATTACTCAATTAGTCTGACTAGTGACAACCGTTGTTGTATAATCTAATCGTTTATAGATATATCAATATCAATATAATATGTGAGTGTTTGACGTCTTTACGTTATTTTAATTCAATTAGTCTAGTGACAACCGTTGTTGTACAATCGTATGTTCGTTCAAAAATTATTTATATTTTAATAGAAACAAATTTAATGGAATATTATTTATATTAATTTATTTTAAACATGTTTTTATTTATGGAAAAAATTGCATATTATAATATATTTTTTGCATATTTTTAAATTTTTTATGCATATATTATAATTTTTCCTTGCATATTTGCATGCATATTTTGTCTATTTTAGCTCCTATAACTTCTCATCCCTACTGATAATATACTGATGCGAATCAGAATTTTTATTCCGGGCAACAGAAAAGTTAAGATAAATCTAGAACATCATACACCGAACATTAAATAACGCATTGAACAAAGTTTGAGTCTTATACATTTCGTACATTTAACGGTAGCAAAGTGCACGGGATCAGCTAGTTTTGAAGTAAATTCATGTATCATATTGTTATACAGATTATTGTCCTCGTTATATAAATTAGAAAAAAATAATCATATAAAACAAATAATTTGAACGCATTTTATTTTATACCAACAAAAAAAAAAAAATGACATGAATAACAAGTTTTCAATAAAAAAAATTAAAAATACTTGTTTTAAATGTTT